ACTTGTCCACCACTGCATGACAGTTGCTAGACTCGATAATTGCCGGTCTCGTAATTAACCATATATAGTTACATTCTTAAACAGGCTCGCTTGAAAATATTATTTTATATGCGTGCATTTGCATTTTTCATTTCACACTGATGGAAGAAGTGAATATGATATCAATCTCATGAAGAAATACTCTTCATTATTATCAAATTGAAATAACGTTTATGTATACATTAATAGCAGATAATCAATGCTTGAATATGATATTAGTTTGTTGCCTGCTGGAAGATGTCAAACAAGATTGCAAGCAAAAATCATAATTTTCTAAATATAAACGTAGAAAGTATAGAAATCTCTTTAAGCGGATAAATTATCATCGATAGACACCATAAAAGATCAATCAGCATATTTGCCTAGAAATTCTTTGTAATAGAAAGGCATAACAAAATATCAATTGAAGATTATCATATTTTGGCAACAAGATATATGTATACATTTTCATATATATTACATTTTAAATACAATTAATAAAATATAACACTTTTAAAATCGTATAAATAGATAATATATACAAAAATATGATACTTCTCTAAAATCAAATATTTCATTTACCGTATCGTTTTCACATAAACAATTTTGTTTGCATCAACTATTTTGTTATGAAAATCTCATGTAAACAAAGGAAATTTTTTGCTTGCGAAATACAGAGCGCGTCAGACATTTCATGATGTTTACAATATTCATTGATATCTGTTGTCAGTCGCTTTAAAATCGATTCTCAATATAATAAAAGACGATATAAAATACAAATATGTTATACATGCATCTATATAAATATGTGTTTATATTGCACCAATTAAAATGCGTTTCTCGAAATGCGGTAAGTCTCCTTATAAATTTTATGCGATATTTATTGACGGGTATAAACGTTCGCTGATATGATACCACGCAGAAGCGTAGAGGCAGAAAAAGAAATGTATGAAGAAAAGGGAACTGACATTGCATTTCATCGCGGAGAAATATAATCCCGCAAGAAAAACAGGTTTTTTTGAGAACGTAAAGAGATAATTATTTGCATCCGTATCGACAAAAATAATGAAATGATCAGTTTCTCGAAAAATATGTAATGCAAATGGAAAGTTGGCATCTCGCTGATCTTCCATTTCGGTTTTAATGATCAAAATGTTTCTGTTACAAACATTGTTCGTGCTACAAACGGATAATTACATCCCGTTTCGGATTACGAAACAAAAAATTATATTCGCGACATATGGTGGCGTTTGAAAGTAATCCTAAGAACATCTTGCTGCTTTTGCTGCATTCAATGATTGGCACCTTTAATTTCTCTAATATGTAACGTCTATTGAAATTACTGGTTGCCAAATAAAAAATTGTTAAAGTTTACAAGAAGGTTTTTCACAATATGAAATTTTTTGGAAGTTCCCTCCTTGACAAGTAAAAGTTAAAGAAAATGTAATTTTTTTTTAATAACAATATATAATTAATATTATTTTTAAGTCAAATTATTCAGTATTAATTAATTCAATGTAGAAAATAGCAGAACACTACATTCATAAAAGATTAAAGATTAAATTTACTTAAGAACCAAAGAATCATGTGGAAGCAGTAATTAGCGATCATGGAGCAAAAGTATTTCACGTCGTAAGATTGAGAAGAAACAAAAATTAAAAAATAAATAATAAGCGTGCTCGCAAGTCATGATTTATCCGCGCGCAAAGCAGCTGCTGATCGAATCGCAATATTTCTCTTTATTCACATGTGCATTTCCCATTTTTCATCGATGAGCAGTTGCCAGCCTCCTCGATTAAAGGAAAAAAATCGCGGAAGAGAATGTCTTCCTTATGATCCGTTCGATATCATCCTGGCGCACTAATAGGTTTACTTTCTCGCAACGAATCGGCATTCCATAGTATCATTTCAAGCGCATCAATTGTCCACAGGCAATCATAGACAAGGATCTATCACGTATTTTAAAATTACAAATGTATGTGTGATGCCAAATATAGTTGTACATATATAATTCTGTTATGCGTTATTATCGATTCGATCTTCTCTTAAGTGATTCGAACTTCGCTTGTGTACTTTATTATTATTTTATGTATTTCTGAATTTAGCAAAACATAATGAGACTAACCGCAATTAACATTTAAATAATTATTTTATTACTACTCTAAGTAAATATTGCAACAAAAGTCTTTTAAAAAATAATCTTACATCATGTGATGATCGAGGCGAGATTAATAAAATAAAGCAAAGTGCGTTAAATAAATATTTAAACATTTTTCATGACTCAAATAGTTGAAATATATTCTTCCATTCGCATTGTCAGGAAAAAATTTTAATCAAAATATTTTGATAATTAATAAGAATTTACAAACGGAGGAAAAATTATTTTATAATATATCGTAACTATAATTAACGAGTAAACATTGAATGTACTGTAAAAATAAATAACGTAAAAATTGTAGTGTTATTACAGAAAAACTGATACAATCGGTTATTGTGATGCAGGATTTGATACAATCTCTAAACTACATTAACGTTGAAAGATAAATTAATTTTTTTTCCTCGTTACAGTATAATCAGATTATTGTTTTTGGGCCAATTAGTCGATAATGGCCAATGATATAAAAATTCATGAGAATATGAGGAAGCGATTTTACAGCGATTGAATGTGATACGGGAATTTCTCTTCGTTCGCGGAAGAGTTATGAAAGGGTTAAACGTCACGGGAGAAGCACGATGGAGCCTCTGTGCTCGGTGGATTCGAAACCTCGTATTACGCCATCGATTACGCGGATGACCGTATTGGAAACTCCTAGAGCGAACACCACGTGCATCAAGTGGTAGAGTACTGTCTTCTTTCGCGGATAACTGGACGAAGATCGCCATTCACTGCTATAGAATAGCTACGACGTGGATCTTTGAATCTTTGGTTTAGCAATTTCAAATGCTAAATAACCGACGGCTGACAGGAACATAAACGAATCTTACGTTACAAAATTCCAATCACGAAATTGAAATGAACAATGGAGCGCCATATTTCGACAATAGGGAAGATAATCTTTATTCGAAACAACCTCCTTCGCGGGAACAATATTACGATAGTTGTGAAATTAAGATATCATCTCATTTAATATCAAAAACTCCAAAATTATATTGATATGTATTTAATATCAATTGGAATATTAAATATATTTCTATATAAAATTGAAAATCGTAAATAAGTGCAATTTTTCTGTAATAACAAGAATAATAGATATTTTAAAATTGCTAAAGAGAAAGAGTCAAAATATAAATATTAGTATCTCCATACCATATTTAATTATCTATTAAAAAAGTCATTTAAAAATAATGATTTCAAAATCAACATTGCTGTGCTCTTTTATTTAAAAAAAAAACTTGATTATCTAATTCGACTTTATCACATATTTTGATATTTCAGAACTACCCAGAGATTTAAATAATATCTGAATCAAATTATATTGCGACAAAATATTTTTATTATTAATATCATTATTATTATATCATTACATTGTAAAGGAAAAAGACGCAAGAAGGTGCATGTCCTTTCAGAAAAAAAAACTGTATTGTACGGTAGTCTGTTAGTTGAGTAATGACTATTATATACTTCGCGAGATAATGGAAACTTATAGTCTAATGAATCGAGATTGCGATCCTTAATCTATTTAATGGAATAATAAACTAGCAACTTTATATAAATATATAAAAGTAGTAAACAAATTTTTTACGCGTATTAAATGCAAGATACTTGAGTAAGAGGATTTAGAATAACATAATTTCTCATTAGTCTGCCCGCGCATTATATGCGGATTACTGTAGAAATCTTCGATCCTAGCGCATATAGTTACGTATTACGATATCCCTCGTTCACGAAGTGCTCATTCATTACGTAGGTTTATTATCGTAATATAATTCACACCGTGTTGCATAAATAGGTCGATATAGCAAATGGTACCACACATTATTGTATGCGATTTATTCTAAGCTATTTATTTTTAATTTAATCAATATTTATTTTTTGTTTAGTTTATTTATGCGATCTAATTATATACAATTATTATACAATTATCTGTCAAGATATTATTTCGTGCTGTTTATCTGTTGGTATTTATATCATTTTTACTTGACAATGTGTGTACGTAATATTATTTTAGTGTATTATTATTTACATTATTAAACATATATAAGATCTTATGTAACATTAAATCGTATTTTTATCACACGGAAGATATTTTGCGTTCTCCAATTTAGCATACACGGAAATCAATTTTAATGCTTTTTAAAAAAAGTATTTTTAAATACAATTATATTGTTTTAATCACGTCATATAATAACTACCAAATTTTAATAGTTAATAGGAGATACTGTTACTTTTTACAGCGACATACTTTTACTTTTCAAAAATATATGTATACATGCGCGTTCCCTTCTCTCCCTTTCATAGTCTAATATCATTGAATAACACGCTGATGTGAATTTCTCGTGTACGAGGAAACGCTCTTTCCCAGGCATTTATACCCTCGTTCCTAACGTTCTCCGCGACATAATACGAGAAACCAGGATCCTCGTATATCGGAGGGAGCGTCGCGCGGCGTTTTGCTCTGCCCGATCACCGTGCAAGATTCTAAAGCAAGGTAAAGGCACAGCTGTGATGAAGCAAGGGTGAGACAAGGCGAGACAAGGCAAAAGACAAGGCAAGGCAAGGCACGACAAGGTAAGGCACGGCAAGGAAGCCGCCCCTCCGTATGACCGGGTGTGGAGGGGCCCCTCTGCTTGCCGCCTACCTGGATCACAGCACGCCGCGTTCAAGAATCATCTTATTAGAGACCCATGCTATATAAACCCAACGTGCCAGCATGCCGAGTAGTTACGTACTGACTTTATTCACAGTCGTGCCCCGGAGAGTGCATCGACGACATAACAGCGCAACACACATACACGCATTACGTACATACCCGTTCGTATATACGCATACGCACGTGTGCTCACATAATCCGATCGTATCATCTCGTTTTTTGTGGAAACCCTTCCCTGACAAGTTGCCGATCGCGCGCAAAGCCTTCGAATCGACACGAACGCCGGGCCGAGATCCCGGTGATATCTTATCGCGTTTCAGTGATGTATCGTCATCGATCATTGAAATCGACATCATCGATTTATCGAGGACCGTTTTTTTTCCGAAGCAGTGCACAATCAACCGGAGAAGTTACGCACGATGTAGTTCTTTTGATTGGATAGTTAAATTATTTGGTGTTTTTATAGAAATATGATTCTATTCGTATCTATATATAAAAGTTCGTTGGATGATTTCTATGTGTGATGATATTACGATATTATTATCGTAAAAAATTCAAAATATAAAGTTAAATCGATGTTCTTAAAAAGGATGTTCATACGAATAATATCTTTCACTCATTGGAATATTATTCAAAAGTAGTATCTTCCTAAAGTGTTCTTTAAGCCTGCGAAATTTTCTTAAAAAGATAATATATTTATATAATTAATAATAAATCATGCCATTGTAAAAAGAAATAACATTTTAACAGATATTACTGAAAAGACAAAATAAAACACTTCTAAATAAATATAAATTTGAGAAAATAAAAAAATTTATATATACTGTTAAATATATTCAAATTTTGTTACATTAAATCTACTTTAGACAAGAAGCAAGTATTTATAAAATTTTTTTTCTTTCTTAATCGTTTAATAAATAAATATTGTAAAAAATTAGATGTCGTAATTTATTACAGAATACTGTCGTGTACTTAAAAATGATCATCTAACGCATTCGACACACCACTTTTTTCCCCGGATTCGTACATTCATTCACTTACAATCATAAAACATCTCTCGCGAGCATATATTATATATATTTTGCTTAAATAGCGACATCTGCCATCGTATCGCTCTCATACAGTGTTAATTTGAAACTTTTTCAGTGCGCGTTGATTCCTCTAAAGGGTTGTCTCGTTGTTATTTCCGCTAGCGAGTACGTGAGTTAGCGGATTCCAGCACGTCGATTTGTATCACCTAAGTGCGGCCCAAAGATGTATTATCTGCAGGTACGTGCGAGATCAATTCAGTTTGTCTAATTAATTAAATCGCCTGATAAATCGCAGATATATAAAAATTAGAAATGAATCTTTTTGTTACCACGGATCGCGTGTATTATTTAGTAGGTGTAATTGCAATCACAAGTGTTGCAGCAAGACGCGCGTTACCGCCTACATGGTCCATCAGTGTATTCACATAATTAAACGCTAGAGGCATCATTAAATTTAAAAACAGCATAGTCAGAGTTTAACAATCACGTGAAAAGAATCGTGAAATTGATTATCAAATCAAAAGACGAATTATTAGAAAATCTTTTGCATAATTATCCTCACTTTATTGTTCATTAGCCGTCATAAGCCTCGTTCATTGTAATTCATTATAATTATAAATAATTTATGGTAATTTGCAGCGATAAAAGTCAATAGTAATTTATTGTCGTAAAAATGTGACGGTATATTTCTTGCCTGTCCAAAGAAAAGACAAGTGATCTTATACTCGAGAATCGAGTGATAGTACGAGTTTCTCGCATGTTTTACGCATAAAATATTCAGATCTTCAATTGTCAATTATGATTATCGATTACCGTTACTGATTGAACTTGGGTCGCCCGATGAAAAAGTATAAACACTAGCTTAGACATTCGAAAGGAAGGTGCGTAAAACTTGTCTTGTAATACGTGCGTTGATTAACCAAGATTATTACTCTGCCTCTTTACGCCGCGCGACCTTTACGTCGTTTAAGTAAAACTTCACTATACGACTCAATCCTTCCCCTCTGGCACTCAAAGAGTCAGTGTGTTGATAGAACGATTTTGTTATAAATCACTTACTACTGTTAATTCACATCTCGCTTGATTAATCGAACGATCTCTTATCCGCGGCAAATCGATGATCGCCGTATCTACCGTTAAACGCACGCCGTTTGTAATGCAGATAGATCTGACTGGCTGTCGATCATCTTACAAGGAGTCACGGTCGCAGGATACAAAATTATCTCATTTGACGGACAAATTCCATGTAAATAAGGAAGAATGTTGATTTTAACTTCCATTAAGTAAATATCTAACAATACGTTATCTATTGCCTGCATGTAAAAACAACTCGTGAAAAATTTAGATTTTCCTTTCGATAAATTCAGTTTCGAGGGGATTAAAGTTATCCGCGAGTTCAATCCTCGGCTGCCATTGTCATTAGCGTGTCTCATTATTTCTTCTTATTAAAATATATGAAGAAAAGCGATTACAACAATAGTCGCGGTGATATCATCGCCGAGCATAATATAAACGTCAGACGCGCGCCCACGCGACGTACGCATCGACATTATAATGAGATATTAATGAACTAACGGGCGCATGCAATCGCATTTGTCAGCTACACCGCCGGAGTAGCTTCTCACGCTTCTCCACATTTCGATTGACTACTGGAACGAAGTTGCGACACCTCGCGAAGCGACTTGCACTGCCGCGGGACAGGTCTTTAGATGCTCTCACTTTCTCTCTCTCTCTCTCTCTCTCTATCTCTCTCTTTCTCTTCCTTTCTCCTTCCCTACCCCATTCTCCTCTCCCCCCCTTCTCTCTCTCTCTCTCTCGCTCTATCTTTCTCTCTCGTGTGTGTTTATATTTTATATATTTAATGCACACCTCTTCTCTGGCGGCGCATTGCAATCGAAGTACAGGGTTAAGAGCATAATACAAAGGTCTCTACTGTCGCAATAGAGCACAGATCACCGGCCGCATCTCCGAACAACGTTGACGTAACACCGCCGGCATTATTGATTCGGTCTGCTCCTTTTTCACGTAGATTTTCTTTCGCGTCGCCGCGGCCGAAGCTAATTCGCATGGCGACGAATCGCGCGTATCGTCGCGCGGTCTGTTATTACGCGCCGGAAAAAAAGATTCGCGATAGAAGTCCCGCGGTGCTTATCATATGCGAAATCGCGGTCTCGTCGTTGCGCACGAACAACGTTTGCTAACCGTCCTTTAGCTCTCTCATATTAATTCTTAACGGTGCGCGCGGGTGAACGATCCTTCACGCGAGCGCATTCCTGCGGTTTTTCATACATCTGGCATTTTCAATCAAAAAATCGTGTTTTATTAAAAATTGCAATGTTGAATTGCAAATATATGTAAAGAACTAACACATATATACTTATACACACGTATTGCATGAGAAATAACAATTACTATAAAATTAATAAAATTTAAACTTATTGTTAGTTATCTAAGTTTACTTTTTTATTGTTATTTTGCAACTTATCACGCATTTCTTTTAAAGAAATAGATATATTGCAATTTGTAATAAAATGTAATTTATATGTCAAAATAAAAATAATTAAACAATTGTTAACCAATTGCAATGAATTTAAATTGATTAATCTTTATAATTTCTTCAAATTTATTATTAATTTTCCTAGCTATTTTCATAGTTATTTATTATTTTCGTTGCTTATACTTAATAATTCATTTCTTGATTCACGTAGCTAAAATTGTATATAGATATAATCATTATATAATTAACCATCAACAATTCTCTTATAATAAACCTTTCGAATCTTTATTGCTGTTTCATCTTTTGTATGTGATTAAGTGCTTAATGTAAAATTCAAACACATTAAAATAACATAAAATAATAATCCTAATCATATTTGACGTCAAGCCTCTGAATTTCAATATAATTTATTTCAAATTAATAAAACATTTCTTGTAATTTTTTTCGAAGATAAATCACAAAATATGTCAATTAGTGTAATATAAATATTAAATACATATGCAACATCGAAATATCTAAAAATGAGAAAATTATCAAATATTATTTATGATCTTTACATTAATAATAGCTATTAGTTTTAAGACATATATATGTATATATATAATCATCGTAAAAAATTGTTTATATCCCAACTTGTTTGATTTGTCGTAACAAATAATGTAATAACATTAATGATAACGGACATTGGAGACGATAAATGTACGATAGATTGGAATTATTTTATTCAACCCATATGTTTCGTCACGCATACACAGACTATAATTATTTCCATCAATCTCATCATAAGTCACAACTCGCGGGATATGTTGTACCACGGAAAAAATATCCCCCTGGCATCTTGATGTACTAAATATCAAGCTCAGCACACTAACAGGAGAAGAGACGCTTGATTTATTAAAATTACACACCTCATAACACGACGCGCGGTGCGGCTCGCATTTGTAACTGATAAGCTATACGCGACAAATGTCAGTTTACACACGAGAACGATTGTGGCGATATTCAACACCGGATCTGAAAGTCGAAGAGCGTCTATTGCGCGTGTGGATGCCGGTACAATTTCGAACAAAAGACCCTACTATTAGATACGGTGGAATTAAGGCTTGACGGAAACTCGTATATCCAGCCACATTAACCCGTCGTATAAATTTAATCATTTCAATTTATTTCGGTAATATTTACATTAAAAAAAAAAAGCTTATAGATATTCTTTTACATACATGTATGTAATACTTTGTCTATATTTAATACTTTTATTTAAAAAAAATATTTTTACTGGCTCACCCCGTAAAAAAGGAAAGAAATTTTTCGCCTACATGAAATATGAAAACGTTTTACGTTGTATTCATCAAGATAAGTTTTTATCATGTATAGGCAAAACATTTTTTTTTCTTTTAAAATAAAGTATTAGATATAGACAAAGTATATATTATGTACATATATATGGAAAAAATATCTAAGTTTACTTTTTTATTATATTAAGTAAAGTGTGTTACTTATTCCTACGAGTTTCTTTCTCGTATCTTTATTATTGTTTTTTTTTTCGTTTAAAGAAATACATATCGGGATAAAATTGGAAAAAAGATGGCCAAAACTCTAGAATAATATACATATATGATAATTAGAATTACGAAAGTAAATATGAAGCCTGTACATAGAATGCCAATGCGCATCTATGCGTGTAGCACTACAAGCTTGTCTGCATCAGTTTACGACATCCTGACAACTTATTATGTTCTCATTATATAGACTTGAACGATTTCTCGAAATGTCGACTGCTGACATATGTTCCGGTATAAAAACACGTCTTCGTTGTGCATTCATATGCACAAATGCGAAATGATGCATTGCCATGATAAACCTGCAACGTCTTCAACGTCGTAAGATAACTAATAGTCAAGTTTGTAACGCTTTATTACGCATCAAAGCATAATATTACATTTATTTCCTGAAAAACATCTATTATTTAAAGATAAATGAGTGTTACTTTTTTATTTAAGTTTGGTAACATTTTCCATCAATGTAGTAATGTAACACGTATAATGACATGGTAATAAATTTTTTAAAGATAGAGAAAAAAAGAGACGTTTCCGGAATTTTTTATGTAATAGTAATAATTTAGAAATATATAATAATTCTCAATTAAATTGTAAAACAAAATTAGAACAAATTAAATAATTATTATCATTTAGGAATTAAATAATTATTAATCATTTGTGAAAAACAGATTTACTTTTTAATGTATTTTAATTTCCGTCAAAATTAAAAATTTTGTATGTCAAACTATGCCAGCAAAAATATTTTTTTTTTTTATTAATATAAAAATTTAATCTCATAATTCCGATCGGTTTTTGTTAGTTTTATTTTCATGAAATGCTTATGTACAATGCAAAAACTTCATACAACTTTCTCTCACCTACGGGATAAGTTATCCCAAAGGCCTCTAATGAAAATTACATATCAGCGGTCAGCGGCGTAAGAGAGGTTTCTATCTCTGGCGCTTCAACGGTCATAACGAAGAATATATTATCCATTTAGGTATTTAAGATCTAAGATCTCACACTAAGAATGTGATGCAATAATATTCCATTAAAACAACCGCCAACGTTTATCTGTCATTACGAAGAATTTCTCGATGTAGCAATATGCATATTATAGGAACTTTGCGAGGCGCAACTTTTTCTCTTAACCGTACGTTTTGCTCTAACGATATCTGATTTATCTGCTACTAACATCCACACATTTTGATTTGGAATCAAACGGAATTTACTTTTTAATCACATAAGTCTTTGCAGTATTTTATAACTCAAACGAGATCTATGTAGGTCAATACGAGCTGGTAAACGCAAATGTCTCCCGCACATTCAAATGATATTAACGACACTCGAAGTAAATAGCGGTATTAATTTCGATCTCTACTTAAAGCCTCTTCAACCAAATGTTGGTCTGCGTATCCTAGTAAGCAAATTGCGTGTATCACAACAGATTAGCGGCAAATTCGTTCAGATATTGCAACACAGATACATCCGGTATCATCTGTGTCCACATTAAATTCGTATTTTGTCAGTAGAACCTGCCTAATATAATCGTAACAACAGATTGTCGACAAAAACCGGACAAAATCGGTCATATTATTTAAATGATTATGAAACGGCAGATTCTACTTAGTTTCTGCAATCAATCTGCCATTATATTCTGCAGATTTTGTTATATTTCTGCTAGTATTTTATCGATAAAATTTGTAGCGGATTTTTTCAAAATTTGTTCTCGATTTAGCTATCCTATTATAAGATATAATTTTCAATTTGATTTTCTAAAGAGGGGACCCTGGTTTAGGACGCTGAAAAATAGGTGATTTTCGTGAATTAGTAAAATCGATCTTTCCAAAACTGTAAGGATACTTCACTGGAGTATACAAAAAAATTTTTTAATTAAAAATATTCAAGATAATAACGTCACGATAAATAAGTGATTAAAACGCCTCGCTACTGGAGTTACAAATTGGCGTGCAAAATAGAAAAGAAACTATTTGACGTATCGACTTCATTCAAAATTCTTTATTTAAATTATTATCAACCATCTTAAATAAAGTAAAAACATGTTTAAAAATTGTAAAACTTTTAGGACTTTAAAGAAAAAATGACAATTTTGAAAAAAAGTTTCACTTTCTTTATGCAGTAAAAATTGTTTAAATTAACTTTTTTTAAATATGTTTTTAGTTCATTTAAGATGGTTGATAATAATTTAAATAAAGAACTTTGAATAAAATCGAATAATTTCTTTTCTATTTTGCATGCCAATTTGTAACTCCAGTAGCGAGGAGTTTTAATCACTTATTTATCTTGACGTTATTATCTTGAATATTTTTAATTAAAAAATTTTTTTGTGTACTATAAGTATCCAGTAAAGTATCCTCACAATTTTGGAAAGATCGACTTTATTTTTCTTTGTTAAAAAAATTCGCGGAAATTACCTATCTTTTTCAGCGTCCTAAACCAGATTCCCCTCTAAAGAGAGATCAATCTTCTTTATTTTAGTTCCATTCTGTTGGAACTCTGAATGAAACTAAATAAATGAAGATTTCCTTCATAAATATTCTAGGAGAGTGTATCTCAACAACCTGATTTCTCTTGCGCAGCTGGTCGTGCTCTGCGTGACGGTAGCCAGCGTTATTGGTGATCTGCCACCGGGCACACGGCGCAACACTTACCTACCGCCAGAGCCAACGAAAGGCGGCGGTTACACTTACAACAAGCCGACGGTGCCGTTTCCGAAACCCACGCCAACGTATCCTACGCGACCGACCCCGAGCTTCCCCGTATCTAGACCGACACCGTCCTTCCCCGGAACCAGGCCGACACCGTCCTTCCCCGGAACCAGGCCGACACCTTCCTTCCCCGGAACCAGGCCGACACCGACCTTCCCCAGACCGACGCCCACTTACCCGACGGGACCTACCAGACCTACCCCGGGAACCTTCCCGACGCCGTCACCGGGAACAGGATACCCTAGACCGAGACCCACACCTTCTTTCCCGGATTATAATGGCCAAGGAAGCGGCGGTGATGGAAGCCTTATCGGCCCTGGTGTAAGTATATGCTATATATCGTATTAAATGAAAAAAAATGCATCTAATATATTTAAATGATTTGGGATACCTAATGGGATGCAGTGGATATAATTTGCTTTGTTTATTATAGTAAGAAGTATGATTTCATTGATTTCTTATTCAAATTAATAACCATTTCATATTTTTCATTCTTATCTGAATGATATAACTGAGGTTTGTATGGATTATAGAATTATATAGATACTAAGTAATATAAAAAATCTTAAGGGGTGATTTTTCACAAAAATTCAAGATGAAAAAACTTCGTTTAACCACATGTCCGGTTTAGTTTCAAAGATACGGGTCAAAGATTGAAGGAAAAATTTCGCTTTTTTTCCAAAAATTTCAAAAACCACTGATTATTTTGAAGCTTTGTGCATGTTTCAAATTTCATCAAAATAATTCGACTGGTTTTCGAATTTTATGGAAAAAAAAAACAAATTTTTTTCTCAACCATTGAATCACCCCTGACACCCCTTAAAATTTTTTACGTTATTTAATATCCACCCTGTATATATCAATATTGCACGTGTATTCAACTTTTTAATTGATGATGCGTTGCAGCATGATCATCATCATCACGAACCTGGTATGCCCTTCGACTTCAACTACGCCGTAAAGGAGGACGCTTTCGGCAACGATTATTCCCACAATGCTATTAGCGACGGCGAAATCGTTCGCGGCGAATATAAGGTACAACTACCGGACGGTAGAACGCAAGTTGTGCGATACACCGCGGATTGGCAACACGGTTTCAGCGCACAGGTCTCTTATGACGGGAATCCTCGCTTCGACGGAAGACCGGGAGGAGGTTTCAATCGAGGCTACTAGCTTTAGCGTCGGGTTCTAGGGTTGTTCAACTTCTGTTAAATCGCAAAGACTACAGAGCACAACGAATCGTCGCATATACCGCATGTAACAATATTTTTAAAGATATTGGAGATTAGCAAGGATGTATCGTGAAAAATATGACAGCTTGCGCAGAGGACAAATGTTCACTATATATTTCTAAATTACGATACCAACCGATAAACGTATTCAGCATTTTTTGAAATTGACGAAAAATTGATACATAACGATGTTCCTCGCGAAACTTGAAATTTCTCCTCAGCGATAAAAGCGAACAGAAGATTCTTGTAACATTTTTTTTTAATTTCGATATTTTGATATCGATTTCAATGTCATTCGATATTTAAACTTCATCCACAAATCAGAACTATGTATATTAAATTCTACATCTATTCAAAGAATATAAATAATAATTGTAATGTTCATTTGCAATGTTTAATCGAGAAGCTTTTTTCATAGCTCATAGTTGAGAAAAATTACTAATAGAATTTATTGCTTATATATGTTTTCAATAAATAAATAAAAATATTTTTTTAACACAAAATTTCATAAGAAATAGTGCTATGTATCTATTCAACCAATTTTGAGACAAACTATATATCGATGTGATCTAATTCTCTTCCTTTTCTTTACAGATTTAAAAAAGTAATTAAATAATTATATATAATATAAAAATAATAAATAAATAAATATAAATGTGTTATTTCTAAATGTGTTATCTGTAATATATAATCATTACATTATTATTACATTTTTGCTTTGATTAGATCACAGATCAATTCCAACAGCACAAATCGTGTAATTGCTGCAATCGTGTAAAAAAGATTAGATCACATTGGTCTATATTATAAATCTCCTATATATTTTATTGTGCAATAAAATTATATTGTTTAGCACTGCTTTGTGATAAAAATTACACAAAATGATAGACAATAGACATAGAATAGACATATAATACTTTACATTTATGCTATTCTGTCCTGCTTTGCGCACTAAAATCTCTTGTTTTATCTTCAGTATTTGAAGTTATCAAATAAGACTCTAAGACTCTAAACAATATTAGTGTATAGATAATTACCGTTGACCAATATTAAATTAATTTGAAATCGAATTATGTAATGAGATGACTACAAACATATATAATTGAAAAAAAAACTTCGCTTACAATAAAATTTAAAAACACTATTAATACCCTCTTTTTCTGAAACATTGTCAGATTTATATAAATAGAGATATTTCTGTAGTCAACCCTAATTTCAACTGATATGTGTATGTAATATAAATAAAAATTTCAATTTTGTTACTAATTTCTTAAAGAAACTTTTAATAAAAAATACTTAATTACTGAAATGATCAATCTAATAAAGTCTGTATAACATACTAAATTTTAATTCGATTATCTTTTACTTGACTACTAATAAAACTATTTTTAGAGATTATTATATGAGAATATATACTAATTTTTAATTTTTTATTTCTATACTATTAAAACAAACTTTTGCTATGAAAAACTAAATACTGGCTAAATATGAATAAAAAATTGAATTCATATGATGTTAATTTCAATAAATACTAGTAAAGATAATCAAACAAAATGTATATGTATTTATACTATTATTTAATTTTCTCATACAATTTTTTTATTATTTACGTATCATACCCGTATAAATGTCCCTCTGCATACGCCCTTGGCATGTCAAGTGAATTTCTACGTATTCTTCTGCCAATTGGTTCTAAATCATTATAACACTTTGTGAATACTCTTTCTATAGCTGCTTCCGCGACTTCTGCCGACACCTTGTGCACACCCATTACTGACAGCTTAGCTTTGTTTTTTACACAATTCTGCGTAAATAACATTATATTAATACACACTGCAATAAATTAGAAATAGCGCTCATACACAAGAGTGAATATATCGCGGATATATTTACTCTTGAGAAATCAATTTATTAGCATAATAATTTACTTGATGTGTTGCTTTTATGTTAAAAAACGACGAATCGCCTTGTAGGAGTGAACTCATAAAACTACAATGCCCTAGATTTGCTGCTCTAATTTCTGTACAGGCTAAATGATCAATATTTTTCACATCTAATTTGTTTCGGCAAAAATCGAACATGTGAACCATTTCGTGTAGAAGAACTCCCCGAACCATATTTTCATTATACGCCGAATTCTGACAGATAACTATCTGTAAAAGAAAAATAAATTGTATTGTTTATAGCGTTCATAACGACAGATAACATATATAATAAATAGATTCAGAGAAACTACTTTCTGACAGATGATGTTTTACTGACAGAAATATAACACGAAATATTAACCAAACATTTGGCAACCTAAATAAATTTTAATTGAGCGATTCAGATAAATATTTACCTGATTAAATTCTGAATCGTATCCACCAGTTACAATCGGGTTGCACACCTCGCAAGAAATATGTCGCCGGATATCTATTTCACTGGAACATCAATAATGATCTAGTCTAGTAAACAATAACGAAATAAAATTATAGATTTATGGACGTAATATATATGCAATCATTATATCAAAGAAGTTACAAACCATCCAGAACTCTTTAGTGCTCCCATCATGAGTTTTATTATAGGACCTTGAAACAATGTATAATAGAAGTGATGAAAATTAGATTTGATTAGATAAAATCAAAAATAAAATTATATGATTGGTAATTTATATAGAACGAAAAATAAGCTAAAATAATACAATAGATCGCATTTATGAAGCATTGAAAGTTCGCTTTCGCTCTCTACTTTTTTTTTTAAATAAATAAGAGATGTCTTACTATCTTTTATACATCTATAAACATTATCCTCGCATCTATTCTTGTCTATTGATTCTCGTCCTTGAGCGCCAATAAGCAGTTTGAACCAGCTTTGCTTAAATTTTCCTCCTCTCCTCTCAGGATACATATCAGATCCCCATAAATCGTCATTATTCACGGTCGCTCCTTCGCTAACACCGTCTTTAACATTTTCCCCTTCGTTCTCACTCTTGACTGTCATGATCGCGCGAATAGAAGAATCGATACGATAGAAACCAATGTATATAAATAAATATCAATCACACCGGAACTTATTGTAATGTCAGTAAAATACTCTCGCATTTAATCGCGTGAGTACATTTGCGAGGACAGTTTGAGGTTATGATGGATTACATCATCTCACATGGTCCACGAACTCCCCCC